ACACCCCCACCTCCCCTCCCACCAGTCGCGGTTGCACGTTATAATTCCTTGGCCGCTTATCGTTTACTTGGATTCATTAAAAAGATCAGCCAGTTAAAAAGTGATATATGATCCTGTCGATGTAAGAATTTCAATTTCAAAGTTGTAAGCGTCAGGTCTGTTAGGGGGGGGTCCGGACCCCCCGGACCCTCCCCCTGGATCCGCCAATGTCAAACCTGATGATGAGTTAAGCTTTGTTCTTGAAATATTGTAGTTTTGGAAAGTTTCAAAGACTGAGTTCGAGTTCGCAAAAATTGTAAGTTCAATTTACCTTGAAGACCCAAAAGAGCCATAACTTCGACATGATCTTCTCTGCAAAAATGGTGTTTATTCAAATATGAAATAACGAAAGTATTCCCCATGATCAAAGTTAATTATTGCTTGATTTGTTGACGATTGAAGCAAAATCTAAATTATGGTTGGGGCAATTAGTCACTGGGGCGTATTCAGTTTTTTTTTTTGGAAGACAGTGTAAGTCATATGTTTTTCTTCAAAAATCTATCATATCCTATAATATTTGCAGTGAAATACAGAGAAGAACTTAAAAATTTTCCCGCATGGGGTTTAGTCTATGGCAAACTTGGTATCCTTAAAAGGCAGATAGGAATACTTAGACTTTGTTAATTTTCACTTTGCTTGCGTATACCGTTGAGGCTACATCGAAACAAATTGAATAGATTGGTTTTCACACTTTTTTTAGGCTTGTTTGATTTGGTTTAGGCATCTCGCTTCTTCTGCAAACAGTAAGGGAAATTACTGTGGTCATTACTAATTGAAAGCAACCGCATTGAATATCATTATTGACTGTAAGTTTATAAACTGGCTTCGAAGCCTCAGCGCTTTTTGATTTATGACGGAATCGTTATGCTTTCTGAGAATTCCAAAATCGATGTTTCGATTTCTTTGGGAACGAATATCGTGAAATCGTTGTATTACAAGAGGGCACAAAATCCACCGTTTTCTTTGGTCCAATTGATACTTCTTTTGTTAGACCTCCCAACGCCGGCAAAATCGTATATGTAAAAATCGTATATCGGACTTCGAGGTCATGTGATCAGCACGACGCAGGCTTGGGATGATCTCTCGTGCACCCTAAACTTTCTTCATACAAGGAGCTGTTTCTCTTTCAACTTCGTGGAAAGTTCACAAGTTTGTGAAAATAAAATTGTGGATCTTTGCAGATATTCTTCGTATTAAAGGTAGAAGCAAATCCAACAAATTCTCGATTACAACGCACTTTTATGACATTTTCCTGTGTAAATACAACATACGTACATCACATTCCCTTTCGTTTTTCGTTTGTGTACTGATGTACCCTTTGATTTAAAGTTTTTGAGAGCAAGGAAATTGAATTGTGAGTTTTTTATTACCGGTTATACCTACCCGAAAGAACCATAATACGACCCTAAACAGCGACAAATTGGCCATAGTCTCTCTTTCCAATGAACTTGTGTGTGCCTAAAGGTGATATGCGGACTTCGTTGTCGAAAATTTATTTAGTTGCTCGAAAGCGTGAAATGGAAACAATTTCATCTAAGGGATTTTTCAGCTGTTCTTTAAGATAACAATAGCACACTGACTTTTTGGCAGGAAATATTGCCAGAAGTTGCTGAGATGTTGTGTAATGTAATAAGTTGGTATTAGCAGGTTAAGATGGCAGGATTTCAATTTCTACTCCTTTGCTTCAAGCAAGCTATTAAGTGAGCAGTTAGCAGATAACCAGGTAATCCGGAAAAGCAAGATAAATGTGATTTTACTAACTGAGTTTATAGCGTAAATTGGCCACCGTAAAGATTTTCTGCCGTGGTCAATTTACATTATTAACTTAGTTCATAAAAGCAAATCATCTTTTAATACTCCCCCTCCCCC